AACTATGACACATGACTCTTATTTTCCATTCATACAAAAATTAAATATTATAATATTAATTATAATATATAATTTCCAACAGTCGCGCGTCCTGACATGAACCCGAATTGATTGTCTAAAACCAGTGTCTCTTACCTTAGTCTATGCTCTATTACTCTCTCTCAAAACTTCATTATATGACTCATTAACTTAATACCTCTATAGTTCATGCAATTTTATATGTCACCCTTATTCTTGTAAATCGACATCACACGGTTATAAAATTATAGTGTATATATTGAATTGGGATCTGACTCCATCCCATATTTTATATTGTTTTTCCAATACACAATATATCTTATTAATTATACTTGATTCAAACCAAAACATGATCCATGGACAAGTCTATTGGCAATTTAACATGCGTATTGAAAGTAAGGTGAGTGTATAATAAAAATATTTAACATGGCAAATGATGAAAGTAAAGTAGCAAATCAACCCTCAAAGTAAAAATTTACCTAATTCATTTAGGTAAATGCTCTTACATTGTGTATTACGGTGTCACCTAGAAATAAACAAGAGTGCATGGTGGGTGAATTTTTTTTTTCTTTGGCAAAATTGAAGTGTATAAAAGCAATGAGCAATAAGGATTATAGTAGCCTTAGAGCATCTTCAAAGGAGATGTTAAAAGGTCCACATCAGTAATAACGGTAAAAAAAAAGGCATCACTGGTGTTTTTCAACCGAAATGCCAATTCTTATGTGACATGACATGGAATGGTAGCAAAATGAGTTGCTATCAAATTTGACAGCAGCTTCAAATATATTTTTAGTGGGTAATAAATGTTTTTTATAATTTTTGTTTTAAAAATACTAACAATTATGAAAAGTAAATAATACAATTAACAATGGTTTAAATTTGACATATCGAGTTGAGAACAAAATTTACAAAAAGATCATTATGACACATAAGAGCATCTCCAAGGGAGATGTCGAAACTATCACATAGATTTACAATAGTAAAAAATGGCAGCAAACCCTTTCCAACCGAGCTTTCAGTTTCCTACATGGCCCTGAGTCATCTGAAGGTAAGGTCTTTTGCTGTCAAATTTAACAGCAGGTATCAAATTTATTTAATAATTTTTTAATAATTGTGAAGCAATAGTTAATAAATGTTATTTGTATTCCAAGAATTTGATTGGTTATCTCGATAATTGGACCCCACAAAGAGATAAAAAATAAATAAATTATAGAATGGCATTATTATTTAACATATCGAGTGGTGAAAAAATTATACAAAACGTCAAACTACCACATAAGCCATCAAATTTCATTTTGATGTTTTAAATTTGACATCAAAACATATATTCTTCTCATGCCAACCTTTTATGCCCTTTTGGTTTGCAAACTCTAAATTTAATTGATACAAGATATTTGAAAGAGAAATGTAAAAGAAAAGGAGAAAATGTGAGTTTCTTTTTTTGTATTTTAATGAGAGATGCTATGATAACATGTGAGTGATGTTTGAAGAAAAACAAAATTTGGTCTGTGCAAAACTAAATAACCACCTATAACTTTATTTTGTGAAAGAAGATAAAATTGTCTTTTCGCCTTATTTTATAGGTAATTTAAATGAGAATTATTATTGACACTCCAAATCTCATTTTACACTCCAAACTTTCAATAGGTAGAAAGAAAAATACACTTATAAGGAGTGTAGAATGAGATTTTTAAAGTGTTTATTTCCATTTAAAATTTACGGTTTCAACATTATAAAATGAAACAAAGTTATGAAAAACATCAAAACAACTTGGTTATCTAGCTGTCTTCCTTGAAGATCACTGTGGCCTTGGACATCATCTTACTTTCATTTAGCTTCTGTACAGCATCAGATTGCTCGGGTAAATGAATTATGGTCATTTGCTCCAGCTTCTCGGCATTCTCGAGTATATACCTTGCAAACTCAATCCCATTCGACCCACTGGAAAGCGCTATGGTAACCTCCTCAGTTTGATGAATAAATTCCAGATGCTGGAGCTTCCAGTGTTCTACATCAAACCTAGATGCCTGGAAAAGCAAAATGTCAACAAGCAACCCAATTGATATATTTCAAACGATAAGAAACCATACAAATTCTTTAGAATGAAAAACGTAGACTAAACCCTTACATCAGATTTGGTGTCACGACTTGAGTGATAACCTACGTATAAAGTACACAAATTGGGCATTCCTCTTAAAAGAGAGACCAATGCAGGAACGAGCTCATCAGAAAAGCTCCGAATATCCATTTCCAAATACGAAAGGTTATTGAATCGAGCTTGTGTAGATCCTCCTTCGCTGAACAAAGCCTGCAATGACATAAAATGGGAAACGTATATCATGTTTCTCAATTCACATTTTATCCTATCAAGTATCAAGTGAGAAATAAAGATTAGTCAGGTTAAAATATATAGGTCTGAACAGTAAAATTCAGAATGAAGGATTGTCGTTCTCAGTACCTTAATGGTTGCTTCATTTATAACAAGATATTCAACCCTGTGCATACTGCAAAAAACCTTTAACAGGTTGTCAAAGTCATCTGCTTTAGGCTCCAGAAACATAGATGCTTCTTCTACACATTCTAATTTTCCCAGGTTTGCTTTCTTCATCACATTCCCCCTCCAAAACAAATATTTAAGTTTTGGAGCAAAAATATTTAACGATTTGCCTTTAGACGAACGGAATCTCCAGGAAACGCGTATGGTTTCAAGTTTCTCACCTGAGATGTTAAGATGGATTGGAGTACAAAAGCCGTCATATAGTTCAAATTTTTCCAAGGACGAGCTTTCAATGGTGATATTTTTTATGCGACCAAGACCGCAAAGAATTAATTCCTTGATGGATTTGCAGGAACATGAGATCCACTTGAAAAACCCCTCATCTTTTATTTCTACATTCATCAACTCCAAGTATTCAAGGTTGGAGGAAAAAGCAACCGAAGGTGTTTTAACAACGGAAGGCATATTAATCACCAGAGACTTCAAAGTTTCACAAAGGAAGATACTAAAGGGAAATGCTAACTTTTCATCCAAAAATATATCAAGGACTTCAACATTACACCTCACTGCATTGTGAATTAAATTGACTATTCGAAAATTCTCATTTACACAGAAGCATGGTGTTCGATCTCTATTTTTGATTAAGTGACCAGTCCAAAACAGACGAAAGTACTTTATCTTATTATCCCACGTTTAAGCAAGAACCTATCCAATGAACTCAACAACTTCAACCTAAACTCACATGTAAAGTGGCTGGAACCCTTGGG